TATTTTGAGGTCCGATCATTTATTTAGAGAAGCTCGAGTTTGAGGGTGCATATTAGTAAAATAAATAAAAAAGTCGTTTACGTGGGTCCCGCAAAGTCACGTGTGACTTCGGTTTACCTAGAATCGAGTTGGGGCGTGTAGATAATTCAGGCACGATGTCATGCGGGGCATTTATCGAGTATTTCGGAGTTCTGAGCATTTAATTAGAAAAACTTGAATTCCCGTGGGAATAGTAGCAAAATAAGCGAGAAGAGGAGACTTCCGCTGTTCCGTCGGGCCTCGATAAGCGAGTCGAGCACTAACAAAAAGTGCTTTCGAGAAAGCACGAGAAGAGGAGAAGCCGTTTATGGCGTCGATTTATTATTTTGAGGTCCCGATCATTTATTTAGAGAAACTCGAGTTCGAGGGTGCATATTAGTAAAATAAATGAAAAAGCCGTTTACGTGGGTCCCGCAAGGTCACGTGTGACTTCGGTTTACCTAGAATCGAGTTGGGGCGTGTAGATAATTCAGGCACGATGTCATACGGGGTATTTATTGAGTATTTCAGAGTTCCGATCATTTAATTAGAGAAACTTGAATTCCCGTGGGAATAGTAGCAAAATAAGGGAGAAGAGGAGACTTCGGGTGTTCCGTCGGGCCTCGATAAGCGAGTCGAGCATTAACGAAAAGTGCTTTCGAGAAAGCACGAGAAGAGGAGAAGCCGTTATGGCATCGAATTATTATTTCGAGGTCCCGATCATTTATTTAGAGAAGCTCGAGTTCGAGGGTGCATATTAGTAAAATAAATGAAAAAGCCGTTTACGTGGGTCCCGCAAGGTCGCGTGTGACTTCGGTTTACCGAGAATCGAGTTGGGCCGTGTAGATAATTCAGGCACGATGTCATGCAGGGCATTTATCGAGTATTTCGGAGTTCCGAGCATTTAATTAGAGAAACTTGAATTCCCGTGGCAATAGTAGCAAAATAAGCGAGAAGAGAAGATTTCGGGTGTTCCGTCGGTCAAGAGATTTCAAGAATAATTTGATCATGCAAACATCATTAAATAGAGGGGGTCGTTAGCTACGTATAGGAAAAAACGAAACTCAATTCTGAGTTCAGACGATCTCAAACGAGCACGAAACATAAAATATATATTAAATATTAATGTTTTTTTCATTAATTTTAGAATATAAAATATATTATAATAATAAATTTATTTATTAATTTTTTTTTAAAAAAAAAGTATTATAACAATACGTTTATAATGTTTTTTAATTTTTTTTAAAAAAAATAAAATTAATTATAACACGTATTCTAAGAATACGTTTTTTAAATAAAATTTAATTATTAAAACGTATTCTTATTTAAAAAACATATTATGAGAGATNAAAAAATTAAATGTATTCAACAGATTTTTGTAGCAGAGAGCATATATTTTTGAAATTTGATGTGATATTTTACCTTATTGTGGCATCATTGTTTGGCTTTTCCAATGTGACAGACGTGTCACGCTTGTTTTTATTTATCATTATTTATTTTATTTTGTATTTATCTAATATTAAATATTTATTTATCATTCTAAGAAATGGGAAATAAATATTTCACACTTTTATAACATTTAGTTTAATCTCAATAATACTGCTATTAGTAGGGAAGCTTTAATAATTAAACAATAAATTATGCTACATAACATAAAAGATGGTATATATAAAGTTTCACATAAGACACAGGTGTCACGATTTTATTATTTTACACAACATATTGTCTCTAAAATAAACAATCAATATGTCCACATATTTTTTGTTTATTCGCTATATATGTTACTCCATTATATGTTAAAGTAGCTTTATTGATTACCCTTAAATTATTGTAATTGTGATTTCAAGAAATATATATACATTTGAACTGAAATTTCATATATTAAAAATAATATAAATAAGAATATTACATTTTATAGCAAATATATACTTAATTAAAATTAGACAACTGGTCGAGCTGACTTACGAACTGTAAGAGTGTTTTACACGAAAATTCGTATAAATTTATTTAGATAATTCTTTGTGTCCCATATGCAAGATCTCAAATGCAAAATTCTCCTAAGGGGGGCTAAAGTGAGTTTTTTCGTCACACAACAATGTAAATAGTAGTGGATGATAATGCATTATTATAAAATAAAATCACTAGACTTAGTGAGTTAATATTTAATTATAAACATAATCATATTCCACTAATTGTGATTTCTCCATTTTCCAGCACCATTTATTTAGTCCCTTCCACCCAAACTGAGATTGTTCAGGACTTAGGTATTAAATTAATTTTAATATATTAGCTTGAAGTTATGTAAAGAATATGTATATAACTAGTCCTTATGTAATTTTTATGTTAATTATATTGTTATTAGTCAACTTTGCTTAAGTTTAGCATCACAAAGAGTTTTCAACTAGGGCTAAACACATCATCAAACCAAATAATTATTTTCCAAACGAATCTAACAAAAAATATTATTTGACTCTGAGAAATTAAATATTTTTCCCCTATATTTATGAAATAATGTTCAAATAGTGGTAACGTCACGGGTGATATAATGTGAATGTTGTTGCATCACACAAGGAAACTATAAATGCTAAGCATGCATTAGGCACGCAATTAATTGTCCTTTCATAACAGTTGCCACTTGTAACGCTTACTTTCGAATAATTGATGTCACTCCCCACACATTTTGACTAGGAGAAAATTAAATAAATCAGACAATAGTGATTTTATTTTATTTATTTCTATTTATTCAAATAAGAAGTGGTTCGTATGTAATTATACTAGTATTCGACCTGTGCATTTGCACAGATATAAATAAATTATTGTGAGTTTGTACATATAATGATTAATTATTTTTCTTTCACTTTTTTGCAGACCAAATTTACAATTAAAAGAGTTGGAATATTTTTTTTTTTAAATTGCGTTATCTGATTGGATGTAATGTATATTTTGGTACGTCTTTTATTTTTGAATTATTTATTATTTATTTAGGAATTTCAAATATATTTTTTATTTTCAAAAAAAAAAAATTAAATGTAACAACAATAATAACATCTAATCACATTATACGGTCAACACATTATATGGTCAACTGTCATTAATCAAAAGTTTAAAATGATTTTTGTAATTTTGAAGTGATGAGTATTAATTATTTAATGATTAAATGAAAGATTAAATACATCAAAATGTAACGGTTTTTGGAGAGAAAATTGTTAAATTGCCACATAGGTAAAATTAAATAGGTTTTATTAAATTCTATTAGCTAGTAATTATATATATATAGATTGGAACCTTCCATAGTTGGAATAGACAAAATTATAATTAAGTACACAAATACTGATTGGCCAAGGAGACTTGAATAATAGTATTATTATCTTTTATGACTTCCAACGGGTAAACAAAACATGTCCTTTGTAAGCTTTGTTCAGATCACTTTGTTAAAGTTTGAGCTCATTTTTGTTCGTTAAGGCTCGAGTTCAATTCAAATTGTTGAACAATGTTTTGATTTAAAAATCGATCAGAATTCATCAACGCTTTACTTCGACTCGTTAATATTGATATTAATAATATATGCAATTAACACAAATGTTTTAAAAAAAGGGATAGGTAACAAAGATAATTAGAGAAGAAACCTATCTTGATTGACTAATTGATTTTTGGTTTTATGTTTTATCCATCTGTCAATCTCTTTCTTTTATATTTTATATGATTATCTTTTTCTTCGTTCTGTTTCGGATTTTTGTTTGCTCATCATTTATAGTCGAAGGTGCAGTCAACAATGGTGTAACTACTTTGTGGGCATGGGCCGCTGGCTAGACAATTTCACTTGTAGTTTTCTTCTCATTTTTTAGATAAAATTAACTTTCAAATTTTATTTATTTTTTATATTGATGGAGTTTTTTCAATTACAAAAAAATAGTAATTTTACAATATATAAGTATTTGATTTATTGTTTATTTTTGCAATTGACTTTTAAATTGTATAACTTTTTGGTTCATGGCTACTTTTATGTATGACTTTATTTTAAATGTCATATTTTTCGTAAAACTTTTTATAAATTGTTGTAAACAAGTAAAAGAACCAATTTTTTATTAATTGTTAGGTGTTGGTCACATTACCAATTACAAGAAGGGTGCATTGAGTTGACAATATCAATCGGCTCGAAGATCTACAAGGGCCCAATTTCAATCCAGTTCGCATTGGCCCATTAACATTTTTCTGACCCAAGAAGTGGGAACAACTAAAAGAAATAATTTGCTATGAAGACATTTATGAATAAATCATGACTGCTTCCAGTTCCCTTCCTCATCTCTCATCAAGATTCTCAAATTCACTGGTTCAATGATTTAAATTTTATGGTAAAGATTGTTTCGAGAAGGTAAAGTTAAACCTCAGCTATATGTGAAAAAAATAAATTATCAAATGAATATAATTTTACCTAAATGAACAGCAGGAAAAGAG